GTATCGATGCTGTAGTGAAGACAAAAACTCCCCATGTTTATTCCAATGATACAATTATCAAAGATGCTGTTTTTTTACACATAAAGTTTGATGAACTCCTCCTTGGGCGTTTGTCAGAATGAGCTCAAGTTTGGTGAAAATGATCTAGAGGAGTGGGGACATGATTTCTTTTCAGATGGTTTCACTTCATAGAAAGCGTCTGATTGATTCATCTTGCAGGTGTGGTTCATGTGGTGGATAGGCACAAAAGTGCGGGAAAAGAGATGGATTCACATAACAGACACCTGTCTAGGATCGACACATAAGCACTGGAAAGAGATGTACCCACAAAATACATAGTTCATTCTGAAATGTGTGTGTGTGTGTGTGTGTGTGAGTGTGTGAGTGTGTGTGTGTGTGTGTGTGTGTGTGTGTGTGTGTGTGTGTGTGTGTGTGTGTGTGTGTGTGTGTGTGTGTGTGTGGGAACATCACAGGTGTAACAAGGTTGATGAAAACACTCAAAATTCATTGAAAGAGGAGATGATCAGTGTTAAATGTTCAAGTGCAGAGTGTGGAGGATATCACAAGGCCTTGAGGCAATCAGATGAGTGTTTGAAGTTGTAAATGGGTCAGTTTTGACCTGAACACAACAGGAGAACGTCAGAGGAGAATTACTGCAGGTGAATGTGTCTATCGTGGCCAGCCTGGTCATTTCTTAAAATCATGTCCTGTTCCCCCAAAAGCTCCAGCTCATCAGTAGGAGTGGGAGGACTGGTGAGTGAGTCTCCGGTTTCCCCACACCTGAGGTACCTGCACTCTTCAAACTCTCCCCAACAGACTCTTCCACTGCAAACACTTAGAACAGAACACAGCTTCATACATGAATCTTACTCAACAAGCACAAACTCCCTGTTGTTTATAAATCCTGAAAACTGTGAATAAATCCAAGAATATATTCATCAGGGAAATGGGACAAATCTTTGTTTCAGGGTGTGAAGAGAGAGATTTTTATTTTTTATTTCTTTAGTTTTTTAATGAAACACAATCAAAGCCAAAAGAAAATGATCAGTTAATAAATATGAGTGTTAAGTATCTGTGTCAAACTCAGTGAAGTGTGAACAGTTTCAGTTCAGTCTGAGGAGGTTTTTGTACGAGTCTTTTTCTCTGTGTGATCAGTGAGCTGTAACTCTGCTGACAGTAATAAACTCCTGCATCTTCAGCCTCAAATCCACTGATGGTCAGAGAATAATCACAAATGGGTCCAAAGGAAAAGAACAAATTATATGTGGGGATTTTAACATTAATCTTATGAATGCTTCTGCCCACGAGAAAACAGCAGACTTCATGAACATGATGTACTGTAATATGCTCATCCCAATCAGAGATAAACCAAGTAGGATTACCACTGACACTACTACACTGATAGATAATATATTCTCCAGTAAAATTGAAGTTAAAACAATTGGAGGACTCCTGATTAGTGACATAAGTGATCACCTTCCAGTTTTTGCAGTTTTTCAGAACTGTAATGAACTGAATTATGATTACAAATCAAAATCATACAAATTCATAAGACGATTAACACCCCAGTCTTTAAATAATTTTAAGGAGGACGTTAAACAAACTTAGCTGGAATGATGTGTACAATCAGACTGATCCCAATGATGCCTATGAAACCTTCTTGTGTCAATATATCAAACTATATGAAAAAAAACTGCCCATTGCAAAAAGTAAATGAAAATCAAAACTGTGTTAAAAAGCCTTGGATAACGAAAGGACTAGAAAATGCATGCAAGAAAAAAAAAAAGTACTATATAAAAGATTTATCCAACTCAGAACAAAGAAATCTGAAATTAAATATAAAAAGTATATAAATAAATTGATAAGCATCCTGAGAAGTTGTAAAAAGAACTACTACTCACAAATTACTTCAAGAGCAAAGGGAAAATATAAAAGGAACATGGAAAGTGATAAACAGTATTATGGAAATAAGAGACAAAAAACATGAATCCCAAACCACTTTACACATAATAATACCAGACTCGAAACTATAAAAAGAGACTGTAGATGGGTTCAATCAGTATTTTTGTTAATGTGGGTAATAACTTGGCAAAATCTATAGAAATGCACAGGAACTCTCTTCCATGTAACACAGTCTGTAGAAACCCAAACTCCTTCTATATGAATCCTACAAATGAAAATGAGATAGTTAAAATAGTAAAACAATTCAAACCAAAAACATCCAAAGATGCAGCTGGCCTAGACATGAACCTAATCAAGAAAACAACAGAGCTCACAGCAGATCCACTGACACATATATGTAATCAGTCATTTCAAATGGGCAAATTTCCAGATAAAATGAAAATAGCAAGAGTGTTTCCAATATACAAAAATGGGGAAAAAATATATATTTTCAAACTATAGACCAATTTCAATACTCTCTCAATTCTCAAAAGTAATAGAAAAAATATTTGTTCATCGATTAGATAAATTCATAGAAAAATATGAGCTCCTAAGTGACCATCAATATGGATTCAGGAAAAAATCGTTCCACCTCAATGGCTGTTATGGAATTGGTAGAAAATGTATCTACAGCAATTGATTCAAAGAAATACAGTGTGGGTATCTTTATTGACCTTAAGAAGGCTTTTGATACCCTCGATCATAATATATTATTGCAAAAAAATTAGAAAGATATGGACTGCGAGGACCTGTGCATGTGCAGCTACAAAGCTGTCTACAAAACCGATACCAGTATGTTGAAATAAATAATAAAAAATCTGTATTGTTGAAAGTAAATTGTGAAATTCCACAGGGCTCGACGCTTGGGCCAAAACTATTTATTATGTATATAAATGATTTATGTTCGGCATCAAAAATGTTCAATGATGTGCTCTTCGCAGATGATACCACCTCTACTGCTCAGGTGAAGACCAAAGGCAGCTTTTTCAAATGGTGGAGAGGGAGCTGCAGAAAATTAAAGTTTGGTTTGATATTAATAAATTATCGCTAAACATAGAAAAAACTAAATTTATGATATTTGCAAAGCGAAAAGTACAAAATCATGTACAAATTATGCTCAATAATACAACACCACTAGAAAGAGTCTTTCAAAATAAATTTTTAGGAATAACCATAGATCATAATTTAAACTGGAAATCACACATAAATACAATTAGGAACAAACTATCCAAAGTGATCGCACAATTATATATAAATATAGATATACCCTAGATAAAAACAGTCTTTTTATTATATATAACTCGCTGGTAATGCTCCTACATAACCTACGGTATTGAGATTTGGGGCAATACATATAAGACGAATACAAAGCCAATCTTTACCCTGCAAAAAAAGGCAATAAGAGCATCACATTATCAACTTATAACGAACCAACCAATGCATTATTTATAAACCTTCAAACGCTGAAATTTTACGATTTAGTCGACCTGTACACTCTTAAAATCATGTTCAAAGTAAACAACAATCTCCTGTCGAAATCGTTGCAGAACATGTTCAAAATCCGAAAGAGCCGATATGAGCTCAGAGGCACGACCATGTTTATTAAAAAGAAAATCAGAACAAACATTATGAAATTTTGTAAATCTGTTAAAGGGGTGGAGCTCTGGAACAACTGTACAGAAAACCTCAAATTGTGCACCACTTTCTTTCACTTCATAAAGAAGTTTAAATGTTTAACTCTGGACAGAAACATGAAATATGAGACTTAGTTTGTGCTGTAGAACTTTGTTGTTCTGTTACTGATTAGCTTTGTTTCTTCCTGCTGTATTTATGAAGATGAACTGGTGTCAAGATGAAGCTCTGACAAAGGAATAAAGGGTAAAGGCAGAATAAGCTTAAGCTTCAGCTGCACCTTTTCGGTCTGTATATGTTAAATATGACTGTTTATGAATTAATGTCAAAATATACCTGTGACCGAAATAAATAAATAAATGAATAATCAGATCTTGAACCACTTCCACTGAAACGACTGGAGACTCCAGAGTGAAGAGTTTGTAGCATATATCAGGAGCTTTGGAGGTTCTGTGCCTCTTTGGAGATACCAGGCGAGTTCTCTCCCTACATTTGAACTGGTCTGACACCTGAGAGTAACAGAGGCTCCTTTGTCCACAGCTGCAGCTTTAGGAGTCTGAGTCAGGCTGATTTCTCCTGAAGAACCTGAAAAACAGAAGAAGAGTTATTGAGACAGACCCCGCAGGTGTCCAGAGGAGCAGTGCTGTGACCCAGATGTCCTCACCCCGAACCAGGAGCCCCAGGGCCAGCAGGAACAGCTGCAGGGACATCAGGCTCATTGTGTTGTTGGTGTGGGAGTGGCTCTGAAGGGCCCGCACACACACTGAGCAGCACTGGGCTCTTAACGGCTGGAGCAGAGAGGCAGCACACATATGCAAAGTCACACAGTCAGAGGAGACAGACACACAGCTCACACTACTGCCCCCTACTGACCACTACTGACCACTACTGACCACTACTGAACACTACTGAACACTACTGACCACTACTGACCACTACTGAACACTACTGACCACCTACTGACCACTACTGACCCTACTGACCACTACTGACCACTACTGACCACTACTGACCACTACTGAACACTACTGACCACTACTGAACACTACTGACCACTACTGACCACTACTGACCACTACTGAACACTACTGACCCTACTGAACACTACTGACCACTACTGACCACTACTGACCACTACTGACCACTACTGAACACTACTGACCACTACTGACCACTACTGACCACTACTGACCACTACTGACCCCTACTGACCACTACTGACCACTACTGAACACTACTGACCACTACTGACCACTACTACTGACCACTACTGACCACTACTGAACACTACTGACCACTACTGACCACTACTGAACACTACTGACCACTACTGAACACTACTGACACTACTGACCACTACTGACCACTACTGAACACTACTGACCACTACTGACCACTACTGACCACTACTGACCACTACTGACCCTACTGACCACTACTGACACTACTGACCACTACTGACCACTACTGACCACTACTGACCACTACTGACCACTACTGACACTACTGACACTACTGCCCCCTACTGACCTACTGACACTACTGACCACTACTGACCACTACTGACCACTACTGACCACTACTGACTACTGACCACTACTGACCACTACTGACCACTACTTCCTTTCGTTTGACTTCTGATGGTTAAATGGAGACACTTGTATCAGACAAACAGTGATGTGTGGAGGTAAATGATACTAAGTCATCCTCCCTTCAGTTTACAGTAGGGTCACTCAGGGGTCAGTTTGAGGCCTCTGCTCTTACTTCATGTCCCTGACCTGACTAGAGTTTGTGTGTGTGTGTGTGTCATATAAGTGTGTGTGTAATATAAGTATATGTATAGTATATATGTGTGTCGTCACATGACACTGTGAGCTCTGTTCTTGTCCTTGTTCTCTGTCTTGTCCAGCTCTGTGTCGTCTGTGGACATTGTGTGTGAACATGTTTGATTGTGTTTCACATCAGCCTGCAGGGGGCAGCACATGGACATTACACCAGTGTTTATATTTGTCTAAATGTTCATCCATTTATATTGATCTCCATTTTCTTAAACAAATAAACAGAGAGCAGAGCTGGAGCAGAGACAGAACATACACAAACTCACACAGTGACCTTTGACCTTTTGACCCTAAAATAATTCTGTGTCAGATCAGAGCAAAGCTGAGGCCTGCACATGTTCTTTCAATAGTTTTAGGGTTTCACATATTTTTGAATGGAGTTACAGCTTCACATTTACTCTCTACAGCTCTGATGAAGTTTTAGTATCAGTTTGAATTGACTCAGGTTAAAATTCATATTAGTTGAATAAGTTGGAGATACATTTTCTTTTTAATTCCATAAAGAATGACCTGAACAACACAGGTTCTTATCCACTGCTTTCATCTTCCTATTAGAGATGACACTGTGTAAGTCTTTTAGCTGCATGTGTGTAAAAAGGCCACATCAGAAACCAGAGCTGAGCCTTTCAGGTGTACAGTTCAGGTAATCATATAAAAGTGTTGTATGTTGACTGAATTGAAACTGAAATTACTTTTTTTTTTTTTTTCTAATTTACTGTTAACTTAAATTTGGACATTTCATAAAATCAATCAGCCAACTGCATTTACAATCTAACTAATCTAACTAAGGCTTCTCATTGTGCTACTTAAATTAAACAGAATCCTCACTTTACTTATAAATAAAAACAGATAGTTTTTACACTATTGTGTCCTTCGGGTCTTGACACCATTTTTACTATTTTAACTATACTTAAAAACTAATATTGCAGGGAAATGTCTTTACCGGTGTCTTGGTGGAGGAAACACCGCAGACCTTCTACCAGCTGCTGTCCGTGGACCAGGTCTGGACCAGGTTTAGTCCAGATTTAGACTGGGGTTTAGTCCAGACTCTGGACCGGGCTATAGTCGGGTTGAGTCCAAACTCTGGTTAAAGCCACATTACGGAGTTTTCTGTATCTTTATGACTGATGCTAAAGGCTAACAGCTGCATGTTGGACTCCGCCAGGGCTGCACCTGTCACCGGTTCTGTTCATTGTGTTTATGGACAGAATTTCTAGGCGGCGCAGTCAGGGGCCGGAGGGTCCGGTTTGGGGACCAGAGGATTTCATCTCTGCTGTTTGCGGATGATGTTGTCCTGTTGGCTTCATCGAACCAGGACCTGCAATGTGCACTGGGGCGGTTTGACCCGAGTGTGAAGCGGCTGGGATGAAGATCAGCTCTTCTAAGTCTGAGGCCATGGTTCTCGACCGGAAAAAGGTGGCTTGCCCTCTCCGGGCGGTGTGAGAGTCTCTGCCTCAAGTGGAGGAGTTCAAGTATCTCGGGGTCTTGTTCACGAGTGAGGGGAGGACGGAACGTGAGATTGACAGGCGGATCGGTGCAGCTTCGGCAGTGATGCGGTCGCTGTATCGGACCGTTGTGGTGAAGAGGAGCTGAGTCGAAAGGCGAAGCTCTCGATTTACAGGTCAGTCTTCGTTCCTACTCTCACCTCTGGTCATGAGCTCTGGGTAGTGACCGACAGGACGAGATCGCGGATACAAGCACTTGAAATGGGTTTCCTCCGCAGGGTGTCTGGGCGTCTCCCTTAGAGACAGGGTGAGGAGCTCAGTCACACGGGAGGAGCTCGGAGTAGAGCCGCTGCTCCTCCACGTGGAGAGGAGCGTCTGAGGGGAGGACGTCTGTTCTGATGTCTCCTGGACGTGTCCCTCAGGAGGTGTTCATGTCCCACCGGGAGGAGGCCCCGGGGAAGACCCAGGACACACTGGAGGGACTGTGTCTCTCGGCTGGCCTGGGAACGCTTCGGGGTTCCCCCGGAGGAGCTGGAGGACGTGTCTGGGGTGAAGGAAGTCTGGGAGTCCCTGCTTAGGCTGCTGCCCCCGCGACCCGACCCCGGATAAGCGGACGAAAATGGATGGATGGATGTGTCAAACACCAGGACTTTTCTGAAAATGAACAGGTAGGACTTTACCCCGCCCCTTTACCTGAGCACTGAGGCCCCGCCCCTTTACCTGAGCACTGAGGCCCCGCCCTTTACCTGAGCACTGAGGCCCCGCCCCTTTACCTGAGTATTTTCTGAGTAACTTTCCTTGAATCAACAAAAAACAATGAAGTCATGCAAATGTGTTGGGGACGTTTCAGCCGCTGCTTTCACAAACGCTCTGATGTCGGGCGGTTGTCCTGTCTCCTCCCTCTCACCAGGAGGTTGTGGGTTAGACTCCTGATCTCTCTCTGATCTAAGCCCCTCCCCTTCTGTCCCAGGTGAGATCGACTAGTTTTGTTAATTATAAAAAAACAACATTAAACGTTCAACATGTGAAAGCTTCCACAAGAGCAGACCACCTCTCTGTTGCCATGGTTTCCATCGAATATTAATACAGATGGAAAAGTACATCGTAATCACCGGGAAAATGATTTAGCTCCTCCCCTCTGGGACGATGACATCATCACATTCTAGAATCTCAAATAGTTTTGGAGCCTGAGAAGCTGTCGCCGTAGCAGCAACGTGATGTTCTAATGCCGCCCTGGATCTCCATGGTGATAGAACTCTGCTTGATGACATCATCAGAGAAGCACGACGCTGCTTTAAAGTAAACTTTGAGTGACACAGTGAAATAAACACTAAAGTGACAGAATACTTTTACTAATACTTTTACTACTGCTACTTCAAAGCAGCGCTCTGCTTTATGACATCATCAGTAAAGGACAAGCACAAAGCACAAAGCAACTTACTGTTTTGAAGAAGATTATAAGTATAACACGAAACAAACACTACAGACACAGAATACTGCCACTTCTACTGCGTGTACTGTGTGTGTACTACAACTACTGCGTCTACTACGACTACTGCACTACAATTACTGCGTCTACTACGACTACTGCGTCTACTACAATTACTGCGTCTACTACGACTACTGCGTCTACTACAATTACTGCGTGTACTACGACTACTGCGTGTACTACGACTACTGCGTGTACTACGTGTACTGCTACTAGAGCTACTACAGCACATTTACACTAGAGCTTTTCTCTCTCTTTACTGCATATTTGAACAGAAAAATGCCCTGGAGTTTTTTTAGAAACTTTCGACCTAAGGTCAAGCGCCAAATCTTAGAGGCTGAGAACCAGGAACTGCACGAGAGGATCCGAAACTTAAACAATCAGAACCAGGAACAAAACGAGACGATCCGAAACGTAGAAAATAAGAACCAGCAACAAAACGAGACGATCCAAAACTTAATCAATCTGAACCAACAACAAAACGAGACGATCCAAAACTTAGAAAATCAGAACCAGCAACAAAACGAGAGGAACAGAAACTTAGAAAATCAGAACCAGCAACAAGGCGAGAGGATCCAAAACTTAGAAAATAAGAACCAGCAACAAAACGAGACGATCCAAAACTTAGAAAATCAGAACCAGCAACAAAACGAGAGGAACAGAAACTTAGAAAATCAGAACCAGCAACAAGGCGAGAGGATCCAAAACTTAGAAAATCAGAACCAGCAACAAGACGAGAGGATCCAAAACTTAGAAAATAAGAACCAGCAACAAAACGAGACGATCTACAACTTACTAAATCTGAACCAACAAGAAAACGAGACAATCCAAAACTTAAAAAATAAGAACCAGCAACAAAACGAGAGGAACAGAAACTTAAAAAATCAGAACCAGCAACAAAACGAGAGGATCCGAAACTTAGAAAATCAGAACCAGGAACTGCACGAGAGGAACCGAAACTTAGAAACTCAGAACCAGCAACAAAACGAGAGGAACCGAAACTTAGAAAATCAGAACCAGCAACAAAACGAGACGATTCAAAACTTAAACAATCAGAACCAGCAACAAAATGAGAAGATCCAAAACTTAATAAAACTGAGCCAGCAACAAAATGAGACGATCCAA